CCACCCCGTCTAGAGCGCCCGGCTGGGGATCCCCAGCCTGCCACGCGGCTCCCCCTGGCGGCCGGTGCGGGAACCCGGAGAGACGGCCCAGAACCACCCCGGCCCGCCCCAAATGATGGTCACTCTCCCAGAGCCAGGGTTCCAAGCGGGTTCCTTTCAAGGTCCCCGGCCCCCCGCCCTCCAGCGTCCTGCAGACGCTTCAGCTCTGACCAGGGCAGAGCTGTCCAAACGGTCCAGGCCTGCGGGCTTCTTCTCTCGCTCCCAGACAGCTCTCTCGGCCCGGCCCGACCCGTCAGAGGGTCAAGCCCGACGAAGAGGGACCGCTGGCTTGGTGAGACTCAGCTCCCTGCCCCACGTGGCGCGAAGCCATGTGGGGATCAGGACGTCAGGACTGCTTCTCCACGCTTGGAGAGTGATTCCCTCCAACAAGACAGCGGACTGGGGTGGGGGTGGGGGTGCTCTACCCTTAGCCTCGGCTCCGGGCCCCACTCCCAGCCCGTGGTGGGGAATGGGAGGCAGAAAAGACCACCAGGCCGGCAGCTGGCCACCTAACCCTGAATCGTGTGGCGCTAGAATGGTGGGAGGGAGAAGGAACCGTGATGGGGCCCCCACCCCACTGACGAGGATGTTGATTACAGCGCACCATGTATACATAGTCATCCCCTATGCAGACCACCCCCCCCACCAGCACACACACACTCTGTGTACAGCCACCCCCTCAGGCCCTGGAGTACCCCTCCCCAGCATTCCTGCCCCCCCCCACCCACACCCACCACAGAGAAGCTGTATCCCAGGGGCTCAGAAAGGATGCTCTCTCACTGTCCCCAAATGCAGAGAGAACGGATAGCTAGGATGGCATGAGAAGGGAGGGGAGGAAGGACCTGTTCACCACAGCCTACGGAAGGGGACGGAAGGTCCCTCTTATCCAGACATGGAGAGCAAACCTCAAGGGCCCTGGAGTTAGACAGACTTGGGTCCAAGTCCAGCCCAAGTCACACATAAAGCTGATGTGTGACCCTTCTTAGTGCCCCCTAACAGTGCTCTGCAACTCCAAGTCAGATATCCTGGAAACTGGGCTTTAAGGCACAGACGAGTGGTGGTGGGCATCCCTGGGCTCAGCTGGGCGAGTTCCACTGATGAGATGACAGGATTTGGCCCTTTGGAGGCAGCTGAAGTCCTTAACCTTTTAAAGACACCTTGGACCATCTGGTGAAGCAGCATTTGAAGCCCTTCCCAGAGCAAGGCAGTGGCGGTGGTGGTAGTGATAGTGGTGTAAATTGGGACTGAAGGAGATGCTACATTTCAGGTAGAGGTTAGTGAAAAGAAAGATGTCCTATTTTCCCATCCAAGTTCATGGACCCCAGCTTAAGAATCCTCACCCTAGAATACAGACTGAACTGCAGGTGCCTTTCTAAGAAGACCCAGGGAATTGCTGACTGAAACTCAGGGGGCCAAACTCTTGTCGGAGGACAGCTATAAAGGCAAATGACTGGCCCAGCTTGGGCTCAGATTTTGAGAAGCCAGGCCAGTGAACAGCATATTTGGGGACCTTCATGGAGGTAAGGAGGAACCTGCCCCCCTTGCAGGGGGAGGAATGGGGGAGAGATGGGGGCTTGTGGCAGAAGCACATGGCAGAGTAGACCTGGGCTTTCTTTGCGGCCTGAGACAACGACAATGGTTATGAACCTCAGCTCCTGCATGGAGGGGTGGGAGGTGGGGGGGGGGGTGTCTTCTAACTCCCTAGGCATCATGGTAATCCCGGGATCTAGCCTACTAGCATGAGAGGGGAGATTTTGAGGGTAGCACCAGCTTGTTCCAGGGTAGTTCCCTGCTACCCTCCAGTCCAAGAGTTCCCAAGGTCCAAACTCCTAGAAGAAGGGATTTCCTGAAGTAGAGTGCTCCTTTGAGGAAGAAGAGGCTTGTCTGGCAAGTGCTTGTGCGTGCCCAGCATCCCACTTGGTGAGCACAGACTAAGTAGGTCCAGGAGGAAGGAGATTAGTTGGATATTTGTTTACCTTTCCGCACAATCTTGGGGAGACTTTATTGGGCTGTTAGAAAGAGGAACCAACTGCGTGTCAAAGAGTTGCCTCAGCAGCACTCTGCAGGTTCAGCTCCCTTATGACTTGAGTTCTTTACATGTTTCTTTATTCATGAGTGCCTGTGAGTGCTTTTTGTCTTATTCATTCTACGTGAAGTGAAATAAAAACCGTCCTGTATCCAAGATGCATTTGGTACCTTGAGTGCTCACACAGTGGCTATGGACCCTAATATTTAAGACCCTGATTTAAGAAAATCTAGATATTCCAGGTGGGAGCAATGAGTCAGAAGGAGAAACTGACCTGACCCTCTTGGGGTCAGCACAAAATCAAACCAGTCTGCGTGACCCTCCAGTCTTTTAGGGGACCCTGAGCAGACACACAGACATCCCCTCCCCACAGGGACACTTGAGGCTCTGCCGTCTCTAATGAGACTCTCATCCTGGAAAGAGTGGAAGGGGATGTGAACATCCTGGCACCAGGGAAGCTCCCAAGCAAGAAGAAATTAGGTGAGTCAGGAAGTGAGTCGGAGCAAACCCCCCTCCCTAACCTCTCCCTGTCAGGCTAGATAGCTGAGGAGTCAGCATTCCGCTCTTGAGCTCCCCCTTCTCGGTACTCTTCTTGGCAAGGAGCTGGGGGAGCTGGGAGGCCTTTGAATGGGGGGGGGGGGATTCAGAGGAACCTCGAGGAGGGAGGTGGAACTTTCTAAGAAGCTGGGTGATGACAAAGGATTTTCCCCCTCCCATTCCTTCCGCCTTCCCCACCCCCTTCCCTTGATTCCCAGAGAAAAGGCAAAGCACGGTGGGCTTGGTACCTTTTATTTAAAGGGGATGGGAAGAGAGAGGATCCATGGCCTGGTTTTTCCCTGAAGGGTTAGGGGTAGCAAGGTGGGAAAGGGCAGGACCACAAAGCTGGACAAAATAGAGACACACAGCACAGGCACCACCAGGAATCACAGATGCAGGAGGGTAGTGGAGAAAGGGGAGGGATTTGATCTGGGGAGAGGAGAGGAGGGGAACGAGGAGCCAGGGCCTTCTCAAGCCTGTTGGGGCCGGCAAGCCTTTCCTCCCTTTTTCCCTTGGGACCCTCTAGAGATCAGTCAGCCAACCCTCTCTATCACTCTGGGCCTCTGCCTCCTGCCTCCATTAGAAAGCCTCACCCCATCTAGGAACCTCCCCATCCTGACTGAGCTTCTCCTTTCTCAAAGTCAACAAGTTAACATTCATTAAGGGCCCCCTATGTGCTCACGACTGGGGCTTCAAAGAGCCTTCCCTCAACTTTGTTCTGAGCCCAGCTACTTGTAGACCCCTCCCCAAGTAGATGTGGGTCCCTGCTCCCTCCCAGCCCCCTCAGCCTACAGCCCTAGGGAAGGAAAGAGATGAACAGAGAAGGAGACTGAGCATCGCAAGGAATAGGGAAGGGTCTGGGTTAGGGAGGCTCACCCGGTTGGTGGTCTGGCTCCCGTTCCCCAGATTGGGATGGGGATTTTTGGGGGGTGGAGAGTGGGCGAGGGATCTCCTGACCGATAAATAATACATCTTTCTATGTAATATATATATATATATATTCTATATAAACATCAAAGACAACTAGATCATCCCCCAGGGTGGGGGAGGGGAGCGGGAATTTGACCTTGGGGCTCCTAGGCAGGCTCTGATATTCCCCACTATGCACACACACACAGGCACACGTGCACTCGCCCACACACCAGAGGGCTTCCTGCAGGAGGTGGCAGAGGCGAGTGTCTCACTCCCCCCCCATCCCAACCTAGAGAGAGAGAGAGACAGAGAGACAGAGAGAGAGCACACAGAGATGGTTGGAAGTCTCCTGGATGCTGCACCCCACCCCCACCTCCAGAGCCCCAGGCTGCCCACAAGCCAGCCACTCACCAGCCTACATCTGGTTAGAGAAGGAGGTGGGTGCTCCCTGGGGCCCGTAATCTGTGGGCTGGCCCCCGTAGCCTCCCATGCCACCTGTCGGCTGCCCGTAGTCAGGCTGGTAGCCACCCTGGGGCCCGTAGCTGCCGGGGCCCTGGCCATAGCCAGCCTCTCCATAGGAGTCTCCTGGGGGAGCAGGCTGCTTCTCCGGGACAGGGGGCTGTGGGCGCAGGAATGGTGCAGACCAGCCAGTTTCTTTGAACACGAACCACACGTTGCCCAGCCACAGGACCAGATTGAGGAACCCAAACACCTGCAGGGGACAGAGAAGCTCTTCAGCTCTGGCCTGGTCACGCCCTCCCCAAGATCTCCATTCCACCAGCTGCTCTGGAGACTCCCAGAACGCTGAAGCCAGACATGGGGCCTAAGAGGCCCCTTCCTTTCCACAGGGGTAAACTGAAACCCAAAGAAGTGAAGGGAGGGGCTGTCTCACCACGGAGGTGTTGAGGCCCGAGGTGACAGGGTCCCTCAGTTCCTTGCAGGACACGCCAGGTTGGGAACAGATGCTGCTCATACCCTTGATAATGTTCTCTGGGTCAGTGGCCATCTTCACATCAGACAGGCCCTTGGCCCAGGCAGAGGAGCTCACTAGCCACAGGAAAGCAAAGGCCGCAGTAACTAAGAAGTCCTGTAGGGAGGGGGACAGAAGGGAAAAGAGGGCTGAGGCCACATGGGGCCCCAGGGCGCTCCTAGAGGTAGGGCACGCCCAGCTGCCTTGGCCACTCCCCAGTTGGGCCTGGGCATGTGCACGCCAGGCTGGGGGGAGGGGGGCTGGGGACGACTCACAATCATGGGGCCCTTGTTGTTTTCTCGGTACTTGTCCTGGAGGAAGATGTAGGTGGCCAGGGCGCCTGTGGAGTAGAGGAAGGCAAACACGGCCACGGTGACAAAGAACTCAGCAGAAGAGGAGTAGTCGCCCACCAGGAAGACTTTCTTGGCACCGTTGTTCTGACAGGTGGGGGCATCGAAGTACACTTGGTGCAGCCTGGGCAGGGATCAGACAAGGCCAGAGTTAGGCCTGAGCCCTACTAAACACCTAGCTCCTGTCCCACGGTAGGGGGGGG